AGCTATATTTCTATTTTTGTTGGTGAAATTCTCAGTCTGGTTTGCTGATTTTGAGAATGTTTTCTTTGCTTGTAAGTTTTTAAAAAATAATAGCCTCTTGAAATTCTTGATAATTCTAAAATCTAAATTTTCTTAATTTTCAGACAAATCCTTAGTCCTTGAGTGGTATCTATTTCTATAAAATGACCCTTTGTGGATATCAGTGAAATCTCTAAGATATTTTCCCACTCTAAATTGGTGATACTTAAATTCCAGACATATCATGGATGGGAAACAACTGCAATCTCTGTCCAGCTTCTGCTGTGGTTCTTTGATCACCCCTGTTGTTCAGGGGTCTTTCAAATATTTGAGGGGATTTCTATGCAGATTTAGATTCCTCTCAGCCCAGTGAAATCATTTCTCGATGTCACCTTTCAATTTCCAGCTTCTCTTATGGCCCTAAACTCTGCACTTTGACCCTCCAAGTCAATAACAGAATAGTTGTTAATTGAGTTCAAAGAATCCATCAAGTAGTATGTTGACTACACCCAGGAAAAAGTCAAATTAATGTAGCTCTCATTCTGTATAACTTCATACAAAAGTTGAATTACCTGTATTTTCTAATGCTTTTGTTTCAGTGTTTTTAACAAGTTGTTTATATTTTAATATTTTCCCCAGAGCTTATAATTGCTATTTGTTAGTCAATTTGTCCAATACTAGTTATACTGAATTTAGAACCCGAAGCCCAAGACATGGAATTTTAATTATCTTGGTTAAGCAAAATCCAAAGCCTGAGATTACTAATGTTTGCATTCCCACACATCTGATATTACCCTATTGTGCTATAGGCATCAGTGAATGTGGGTTGACTGATGGTTAATTAAATCTGAGCAGCTGCATAACATTGGACAAAGTGACAGCAGAAACAGATTAATATCACTATAAATTCAGATTTAACAGCTTCAAATAGGTCCAAAACAGCCTGGCAGTTCCACTATTTTTCTATTTCAACTTGTTTTCTCATTTTAAACTTTCTCATTTTCCTTAGATTTCTGGCTACATAGGTATTGTGTGTATCACTATTAGCATATGATCTTCTTTATAATTATCAGTGCTTTTAATATTTTATATATTTTCCTGTCTTGTTTTGTGTTTTTCCTCAATCCCTTCACTTGTGCCTTCGCTCAACCATATTGTCTCTTGAGTTCACAGAAATCCTATTATAATTAGATACTTGTCCTCTTTTTCCTTTTCAATTGGATTGTCAAATAAAATTATATACCTAAGATCTGTTAGTTGGTCTTTCTCTTTATTTCTGTCTATTGACCTGTCTACATACCTACCTAGCTATCTACCTACTATCTCTGTAAGTAAGTTTATTCTATTAAAATACCCTTTCTTCTCTCCATATATGCCTTCAAGTTCCACTCTTTCTTTTCTGTCCCTCAGTGAAAATTCCTAAGTGAATTGTTTATATTGATCTTCTATTTTTTCATAGCCTACTTTGTTCATAAGCCAATCTATTAAAAAGGTTAAAACAGTTCTCTATGCTGAAACATGACCTATACTAACCACACTCAATAGCTGTTTTATAGTCCTCATCTCTCTTACTCCTCACACAAAAATTTGACAAAATTCATTAATCTTTCTGAAAAACTAGTTTTTAATTGACTTATAAGACATTAGACTAATTTGTCCTCTCATATTTATTGATATAAATGCTTCTTATTTAGAAATAAGGTGTTAAGTGAAAGGAAAATAAAGAAAGCTGAGAATTGAAGAACATACTTTCATCAGTATTGAAATCTGCCCCAGCTGAATGAGTTAGAAATTAAGTCTGTAATTGGCATTTTCTCTGAAGGTTGAAATTTTTTGGTGAATTTTTTAAACGAAAATAGTCAATTTCAATCTAATAAAATTCACTTGCTCATTCATTCATTAAGTGAGCCTATAAATATTTATTTGTTACTATTCTTTGGGCATTATACTAAGTACCTGAAATAAGCATAAATAAGTCATGGACCTTGGCTTCACACTGCTGAGTCTGAGAAGACAGAGATGGACAAATAACTGAAGTGTGATAATGGCCATATTGATTCAATGGAAACAGAAAAGAAAGTATGATAAGAAGATAATGATGAGTTCAGACAGTCCAAATTGATGGGAATTCTTATACTCCATGAGTTTAGAGGGCAAATGAGGGAGCAACAGTGTTACTCATTAATTGCTAAATTTGAGCAGTCAGGAAAACACTTGACATCCTGGCAGAATAAGAAGTAGTAGCTAATGGATTAGTTTGAAACTCTGATTTAGCATTTAATACCAAAGATGAATAATAGTCTATTTTTTAGAAATATGTATCAAGGTCAGTGAGTCTGAGATTATGAGAAATGTGAATGAATAGTAGAAAGTCTTCCTCAGTAGCTGACTTGGTTGATCGAGGCCTAGTCTTGGGTTTGATTAGAGAAGAGGTAGTTGTGAAAGACTTGAAGAACTAGGTAATAAAATGATTCTAAGGCAACTATATCACATCAACTGTCTATCCATACAAATGAAATAATTTCAAATGTGAACATAGTAGTATAGGCAACCTGCAGCAAATCTAATTATGTTACATATGAGTACTTGGAAGCTCAATTGGCAAACCCAAAATTACATAATCTAGTAAATCTGAAACTGAGACAAGAATCCAACTATCTTATTTTACTTGTCATCTCAAAGACAACAGATTTTACATAGACGTTAGTCCTTGAATGAACAGAAAGTGAATAAAAATAAATATTAGATGACTACCATGTGCTCATTAGTATGATTAAGGCTGTACATGCATCATCTCATTTAAAACTCACATTTATGTGGGGTAAGTACAACTATTATGGGCATTTTGCACCTTAAAAGACTCAGGTTTCTAAATGTTAAGTGACTCAGTCAAATTATCCAGTTAGTAAGTGCTGAGACTCAAACATAAATTTATCATATGTAAAGCTATCACTCTTATTATCTAACCTCCTTTTCAACAAACCAACTATGATTTTATCTACTTAATGTTTCAGGCAAATCCACCTACAAGTATGATATCTTTGTTTTCGTCATGAGGGTAGTGTTCACAATTTCATGGAATGCAAGCTGTGTATGTGCAGTGAATCTGCTTTTGGAAACTGCTTCTTGATCAATGTGCTACAAAGTATCTTCCCTTGTCAAAATAAAAATGATAGGTACTGCCAGAGTAAAAGCAACTGGGTTTGATTATAGTCTTTACCTCTGTGATACACACTTTAAAGTCTACAGGATTCCTTTGAAATTACAGCCCTCCACATTTCAGTGTTTCAGTCTAATATGTTCTTTATTTTTACATTGACAGTATGTCCTACGAAAGACAGTTTCAGTATTGATATAGCTTTGCTCAGTATGTCCCAGGGAGTTTTCCCCACCTTTATTATATAGATAATGCACACAAATCTCAGATCAAAAATTATGGTTGGCAAGAAATGTCACTTTCTTTGTTTCCTCACAGACACAGTGCTTTTTACCCCCCAGTCTCTCATTTCATTTAGTGGGAAAATACTTAGACAATCTAAGGTAAATTCATTCAGTTCAATGTTTTTTCAGTCAAATCAACATTTTTTGACTTTCAATTTGATCTTTCTAAAGGGTCTCAAGTAGCATCAAGGCAACAATAGAAGGAGGGACTTGTAATTCTTGGTCATCTATTCATCCTGACATCCTTTTAAATTTATACCATCCCATCTTATTGCAGGCCTCTGTAGCTGTATGCTTCCATCTGCAGAGAAATCCATGTCTCAGATGGCTTCTGGTGCATAAAAGGCAGTTATGGCCATCTATCCTCTTGATAAGACCTCCCTACCTCAAACAGTCCCTTTCACCACTTCATATCACTCTATGGCAGCAGAAAATAACTAGTTGGAGTCAAGTTTCCATCTGGGTTACTAAAATCTGTCTGCAGATGTCTAAGAACTTTTATAAAGACTTACCAGGTTAAAAAAAAAATATATTCTCTGGCCTTTTAAGTTTGAATTGTGTCTTCCCCAAAAGATATGTAGAAATCTTGAACCCTGGTACATGTGAATGTGATCCTACTTGGAAATAGTTTCTTTGTAGAAGTAATCAAGTTAAGATGAGTTCATTTAGGGCCTCTCTGGTGTCACAGGGGTAAAATACAGCACTATCAAGTTATTGCCAGCCACTGCAGCACAAGTTCAATCCCTGGCAGGCCACGGAGCAACCCACAGGGCTCAGAAGACTTCTCCTGACTTGCCCACTGCTCCCCTCAGCAGTGTATTTCAGTCAATCTGCCTGTTCTGCTCCCCACTCTCCCTGGTGAATCCTCTCACCCTGTACCTCAGTTCTTGTATGCATAAATAAATAAATCTTTTAAAAAATCAAAAAAAGATGAGTTCATTTAAGGGGTCCTAATTCAATATGACTGATGTCTTTATTTTTTTAAAGTTTTATTTATGCATACAAGAACTGGGGTACAGGCCAGAGGTGTGGGGGGTGAACGGATTCACCAAAGACAGAGTGGGGAACAGAACAGGAAGATTGACTGAAACACACTGCTGAGGGGAGCAGCAGGCAAGGCAGGAGAGGTCTGCTGCGCCATGTGGGTAGCTCCCTGGCTGGAGATTGAACTCATGCTGTAGTGGCTGTGGATAGCTTCATAGGTTGCATCTTAACACCTTGTGACACCAGGGAGGCCCATTACTTATGTCTTTATAAGAAGATGATGCAAGACAGATGAACACAGGAGCTGACAGTCATGTGGCTACAGAGGCATGTGTGAGAATGATGCATTTACAAAGCCAGGGGTCACGGGGGTTGCAGGCCACCACTTGACACTAGGAAAAGAAAGGGAAGGATTCTACTCAAAGTGTCAGAGGGAGAAGGAACCTCCAATAGCTGAATTTAGATTTTTAGATTTCAGAATGGGGAGGTAATAAATTTCTGTTATTTTAAGTCACTCAGTTTATGATACATTGGTAGAGTAGCACTGGGAGACTTACTAGTTCTCTGTGCCATGCAGGCAGAAAGATGTTTTTCATGACTTCACGGGTTCTAGGAAGTTGCCAAGGCTGAGGTGCAGAAGTTGTAATCTTAGATCCTAGAACTCATTTAGGAATCTCATTGCATACCTCACCTCGGAAATTAGTCTGAGGGAGAAACAATTAGAAAGACATTGTATAGTTTTCTTTCTTGGAGCATATACCAAGTCTAATTCTCTTCCCTTTTGCTTTATTGCAATTCCAATTCTAAGTCTTCATTAAACATGAGTTCATAGGGAAAAAATGTCATCATATTTGCATAGACTTTATTCTTTGAACAGTCAGATTCTGGTCTTTTTTATTCAAAGTAGTGTTTCTTAAAACTTATTTTTTTTCCCTGAAAAGATATTTCTCATGTATTTCAAAAGCATATTTGAAATTCAAAGACTGAAAATTTACCTTTCCATTTTGTGTTCTCCTACTTAATCATCCCTCTTCCAGTGGCATGGACTAAATGTGGTCACTAAATGTGTCACTTCCTTGCTTTAAAGAGAACTGAGAAAACTTAAATGTGGTAAGACAAAGACTAATAGAAATTACTGGAAAAAGAATTTTGATTCATTTTCAGAAACATGGTATCATTATATGGAAAATCTTTTGAAGTAGATAATCTGATTCAGTGGCTTGGTTTCTTAAACATGGTCCATAGCGACACCAGCCTTTCTCTTTGGTGCTGCCGCAACTGAGAATATCCGCCCATCATGTTGAATGGATGGATATCCACCTATCCAATACTTAAATAGTGGAATTGCACTTGGCTCAGTATGAAATGTCACAGGGAATTAAAATGTGTCACTTCCTTGCTTTAAAGAGAACTGAGAAAACTTAAAGCATAGTGTGGGTTTCAGAGTAAAGTTTTAAATTGTGCTTCACATTTCACAAGAGTTTTTTGTGTATATTGGTTCTATTCAGAACTTTTATTATGAGCCCTAAGATCAAGGACGGACATTGACCCATATCTTGATGGGTCTTGAAGGTAAGATATGTGCCTGATAGAAATCAACACAAGTGACCTGAGGCCAAAAATTTTTAGTAGTAATGTTCACAAGAGGAATACTAATGAGCTAGGCTGAACCATGTGAAGGAGTCCCTGTATAAGGCTTACATTCTTTGACATTTATGGTAGATTTTATGTTGCCATCCTGGCCCAGTTCAGGCTCCTTGCTATTTCCTGCATGGTGTAGGATATAGTTAAAGATACTGTGTCTCAGACTGCTTGACAGTTTAACTTTTATGCAGGAGAGATACTGCTGGCTCAGACAGCAGTCCTGTGCTTTCATTTCTTGGGGGGACAAGAGAGCTTTAACTGTATCTTCTGTGCTTGTACATGAAAGAAGATAGTCTTTAAAAATATCAAGTTATATGTGATAACATTCCAATCTATAAGAGAAAGGGAGTTCATCTTAAGCATCTTATTTTAATGTATTATTAAGGTAGGTAAATCACATAGGGTCTTGTCTTTTTATGGAAAATGAAAGAGTCAAGACAGTTAACTTTGAAGTTACCCAGTTTAGTCCTTAAACTCTCCTAGAGGTTTTTCTGCAGTATGAAGACAGTTGGTATAGATATTTTACTTCAATAGGGAGATTTCATAATTTAGAGTGCTTACATCCTGATTAGAACATGCAACATTCATGGACATTAATGTTATAAATCCTTAGGAAGTGCCACATGAAAGGTTGAAATGTAAAAGGACTTTCTTGTCTTGATCAACCCCAATGAGCATTCTTCATTGCAGGAAAAGATGGCAAGAAAGAGAGGCATTATGACTTCCCTATCACCACCATACAATGGCAAGATGTAATGTATTTTTAACCATGTCCATAATGTTATAAAGAATTACTGTTATTTCCAATTCACAGATGTTTAAGTAACTCACCCCAGCTCTGTGTTTTGAGTTGTAAAACTACTAAGTTTTCTGGTTCTAAATTTGTCTACCATACTAAGCTGATTTGCCTATTTATTGGCATTTCTGTATGCAAAGGAAAAAGGCTCTCTCTATATGTCACCTTCTGGTCCTGTTCTTAAGTGTAACTGATTTGATTATACACTTAAACTGCCTCACCTCTCAGACACTGTGTTCCTTTATTCACAAAATGGGGATAATTATTGCTGGCTCCTAGACACTTCACAAGAATAGTTTTAGGTTTAATTAGAAAATGAGCAATAGTTTTAGAAACCTCTGTGCATCCTTGGATATTAATGGACTGAACTATTTTCAGCCAATTACTAAGACAGTTTTTTCTATTCCAATTCAAATCTTCAATCATATCTCTAACTGTGTGCCTTGCACCACCCCTTTTCAGGAACCCTATATAAATTTTCCTCTTTTCCCATATATATACTTACTCTTTAGAAGAGAAGTAAATGCAATCATTTCTACTTTCACTTGAACTTTTCAGTGAGCTAGCTCATTCAGGATATTCTATATTTCTTGTAAAACAATAAAACTATTGGATTTACCATTAAAAGGAATTTAGATGTTGGTGAGGAAACATTTAGAGAAGTAAAACAGTCTTCCTCACACACTTGAAATTAGATATGTGTCTACAAATGTCCAAGTATATTTCTTTTCCCATTCACCATGCAAAAGAAAAGTATTCAATAAAAAAGCACAACAAATTTACATCGTTGTTTTCCCAATTATAATCTTCAAATTATAAGACAGCAGAATATGATTCTTATAAATACATTTATTATTTGACTAAAGTTAAACTTGTTTTCCCTTCAATCCCTAGGTAGGATTGCAATTAATCACTTCTAACATACACAAGAACACTTCAGTTTTGTTATGTACAATTCCCCCTTCCTGTTAAAGTAACAGACTCCACCCTCTACTCCCTATAGGGGATGTATATCTCAAGTTGAGTCAATTATAAGATCAAGAGCTCCGTCTTCTGTGTTTAATCCAAAGAACAAAACTGTAATTAAAATAGGCCAATTGGAATACTTCCTTGCATTAAATACTGAAGGCAATAGAGAGGGAGGGGGCTAAAGATATTAAAAGCATGGGTCCTGGGTTATTTAGTTCATATTGATTTTTCTTTCTCAGGTCACTGAAAATGTCATTCCAATAAAAACCTCCTCCTGCCCCATTTTCTAGGTAATTCAACGTGGTTATAAATGGGATTTATAACCATTAATGATGAGCTTAAAACTGCAAAATAACACTATGAAATAAAGTAGTGCTATAAATTACAACCAGAAAATTCAGTTTACAATAGTAACAGTCCAGGATCTACTGGAAAAAAGTAGGTAATTCAATTTCTTATAACATTGTATATATTAAATTTGAAAATACTTGTGTATTTTAAAAGTTTGAAAATACAAGATTGTAAAAGAATCATAGCAAAGAGAACTAACATCTTGAAAAAATAGTTTTCTCCAGTTCCTTTTTGCTATTACATTATTTAATCTTTAAACAATCTCTAAAGTTGTTTCCATTTTACATCTAAAAGTCTGAAGTTTGAGGGGAGTAAATCTTTTGTCCATGATCACATAGCTAGGAAGATTAGCAGTGAAGGAACTAAATTGTGGATGACAAACCCAAGTTTTGTGTAATACAACACACAATTTCCGTGAAGTAGACAATAAATAAAGGCCTTAAATGATATTATTCTGAATGTAATTTTTTTAAGAGTTGTGTAGATACAAAATGTTAAACATGGAAGGGATTTATAGCAATTTATAATAATGTAGCCAGGTCTTCACTATCATAGTTAACAGACAGATGTGGAAAGGCTAGTTAACTGACCTTAAAAATCAATAGCCCCTTTATGGGGTGGATTTCTGCACAGCTGACCTTTCAAGGTCCCTGCCAATCTGGTAATTCTCTGTGTTCTCCTGATTTCGCAGCCTGAAAATACCTTATGTTTCCCCAGGTACAGCAATGCTGAGAAACTATAAGAAAGGACACTTTTAACGGAACCTTTTAAATTTCATTCTTTAGTATTTGTATGAGTGGAATGCAAATAGTGTCAATTTCATTATCTTTGCACAAAATGTTCCTTTCTCAAGGCCAAATCAATGGTAGGAAATATGGAACTGTGCCCCAAGTACCTCAAGGGCAGCTGGCCACTTCTATTTCTAGATCCCAAACATCTGCATTTCTCAAAAACTGGGGCCGTTTCAGCAGAGACGTTTGGAAGTCATCAATATACTGCTTCCTTACTGTGGATTTTGAGAACCTTGAAATGTCAAGTTTTAGCTTGAGGCCAAGTTGGATTTGTGAGCCCTCGTACTGATGGGTGATGAGATCATTTACATTGGATTAAACCTCTGGTATGTGAGCAATTCAGTAAGTGATGAATACAGTGGGAATTACTGCAGTACATCTGCTGGACACTTTTATAAAATAGCTCTCTCATCTCACCTCCTAGGTGTGCAATCTTCAATCAGGAAACATATTTGAAGCAGGAAATCAGTTCTCAAGCCTAGGGCTGTATCATCTGCTCCTGTCTCTTTTGCAGACTGTAATTTCGTCCACTGTCACGTTGCAAAGTAGACAACCATGGGATAGTGATTCACGACCAGAAAATAATGCACTCAGAAAAATGCCTCCAAAGTTAGAGCAGGCCCTTTGCTGACTATTGTTAATTTTGATAAATGTGAGAGTGTTTCATGGGGTATTATGGAAAATTAACATGGGGCCTTTTGGGAATTAGGAAATAACACATAGGAAATGCCCATAAGAATGTGTAACACAAGCAGACCTTCATTATGTGGTAGCAATTATTTCAACACATTCCCCTCTCTTTCCTTCCTCTCTTCTCTCCCTCATTTCACTCCTTTTCTCTTTCCTCTCTTCTTTCTCCTTCAAAGAACTACGACAAGTGTTGTTTTAACACTGCTTCATCTCTCAGTGGAGAAATAGACAGGTAGTGTCAACATCTAAACTAAAAGGGGCATGTGCAAGGACAGGGGAGATTTGTACATTAGTGCAAAATTTATAAATTAATGCCAAAATGTAGGCTGAAATTCTTCCATTTTTGTGCGTATGTACTTAGTCTATAGCAATGTTTTTTTTTTTTACCTTTTTTTTTCCCTTCTCTCTCTCCCTCTTCATATTTCTTCGTTGCACCAACTATTTCTCCCAAAGGCAGGCATCTCATTCATCATTCCCTTATTGGTGCTAAAGATATTAACAAAGGAAGCAATAAAAGTTGGGTCATTTGTATGTATTCCATTGAAAATCTTTGCACTGTCTGCCAAGGCTAAACAATCCTAACTGATCTTAATCTGGAAATCAAATTGCCTTCCATTCCTACTGATTGTGCAGAAGTGTTGTCTTTGCCATGGTTTGTAGTCTCGCTGAAGTCTTTAAAGCCAAATGAAAGTCACTTCAGGCAGACAATTATCTATTATCATTGTTTTTTTCAGACCCTATCTGTGTCTTTGCTTAAGGCTACAGAGTCTGAAGATTAGTCAGATATTTTCATGGCAAATAATAATATAATTTTGAGTTCTTTTGGAAAGATGGCCAGAAAATAAATGAGCTATCTGATTGTATTCAGCTTCCCTAACCCTATTTTGTGACCTCTGCAAAGGCTTTTAATTGTTCTACTTTCACCTTTCCTCATCAGTAGAGAGTAGATAGCAAAGTCCCACGAGGTTGTTAAAAGGAATATATCACCTTATGTTTGATGACTATTTTAAAGGCTTAATAAATAGAAAGTAAGAAAACGGAGTTGACTGACTTTTACAGTTGCTTCAGGATGAAAGTTCTTTCTCCCAGGGGAGTAAAGACACATATTTCAAATGATTCTCTTTCTGAGGATCCTGATTTTTTTTTTTTTTTTTTACAAGCATATGGCTTATATACACTTTCTTTCTTAAAAAGTGTATGTTTAAATGATTAATAATTCTATGTCCTTATTCTGCAAAAATTAAGCCTTATAATTTGCTGTTTTGTGGGTAGAGACATTCTTAGACTAGAATAAACCCCCTCAAGGCCAAACTCTGCCTTCCCTGAACATGTGCCCATATTCAGGTAGAAATGTCTTTAAAAAAGGAGAAAGAGAACATCTTCCTTTCTTTGTCCATGTGAGCAAAAGGATAGTGAATTTTTTTTTATAGTAATAAGAAATAGTTTTATTTTTTTTTATTTTTTTATATTTTTATTTTATTTTATTTTTTTTAAATAATAAATTTTATTTTTATATTCCCCATACAATTGCAGCCCCCCATTCTGACCCCAATCCCTCCCCTCCTGCCCCGCCCCCCTAAAAGTGTCTCTGGTTCATAGTTTTTTGTTGATTTTGATTTTAACTTTCTTATAGTTATTCATTTTTCTGGTCCCTTATAGGATAGTGAAAATTTAAGGAAAAAAACATAGACTATTTTGCAAAAAAAAAAAAAATCAAAAATGGTAGTAGTTTGCTTTTCTTTATTACATTAACTCTTTAATATTGAGTTCAGTTAATAATTTCTCGACTCTTTAATTGTATATTATGTAACAACCCTGTGAACTTATACGGTCTAAAATAATTTGAAAGTCTTCACATTCATTGGTAATGGAACAGGTATTGGAGAGGAAATAATCAAATTTGTATTTATTTTATGTAGATTCATATATGGATATATCTATATATAAGAAATGTGTGTGTGTGTGTGTGTGTGTATGGGTATGGATATATAAGAATATGACCTTCAAATCTGTTCTTTCCACTCATAGGTATTTCTTGGCTCTTTAAACCGAACTAACTTCATTTAAATGCTTTGCAAGAAAATAATGATAGAATTTGACGTGTCAAGGATTTGTGTTTGATGCCTCAGGGTTACTAAATTAATGCGAAGGGGTCCCCTAAAGCCATTAACTTTGTATCAGTTCTGGGGGCCTTTTGTAGCTCTTTCTCAGGAATCCTGGGAAGAGGAAATTCACTTGCTTTTTTTTTTTTTTTTAAGACTCTCAGGGCTAACAGTCTATTTAAGGAGCTGCCTCTAAGTAACAACTCTCCCATCATAATACTAAAATCAGGCATTAGAGGGTGATTTTTTCTAATGATGTATTACTCAAAATGTGGTGCCAGCCAGGAGATCAGCAAGGGAGATCATAAAATTTTATTTAACCTTTTGTTAATTTAAAGTCTCCAATACTCTCTAATTTATTTATTATGTATGTGAAAGGGGAAATAACAATAACCTCAAAGGCTATGAGATCTGCACATTATTTTATTCACTGAGTTCAGAAAATATATATCACCAGTGGGGCAAGGAAAAGATTTAAAGCCCCAATTAAAAATGCTTGTAACACAACAGTAAAAGTACTGAATACAGAGAACTTGTGGAATGTATCTGAGATGCAAACAAAGCCAGTTGGTCTGCAGATAAGAGAAGAAAAAAACACTATTTTCAGTCTTTTTTTTCAAGAAAGAATTCTTGAATAACATTGTTTCTTTCATCTGTATACCAAGGAAAGTAAGCATTTCTTCTTTTTAAAGATTTATTCATTTATGCACACAAGAGCCGGAGTATAGGCCAGAGATTCAAGTGGTGAGAGGATTCACCAGAGACAAAGTAGGGAAGAGAACAGTCAGACTGAAATACACTGCTGAAGGCAGCAGTAGGTGAGACAGGAGCTGTCTGCTGCGCCATGAGGGTTGCTCCCTGACCGGCTGGGGACTGAACTCGTGCTGGAGAGGCTGCGTATTGCTTCATTGTGTGGTGCTTCACCCTTATGCCATGAGGGGGGCCCAAAAGTAATCATTTCTTAATTTCATAATCATTCCAAAGCTCCATCTGACATGGCTGCATCATAGCCCCGCTATGAAATGAGCACCAGGCTCAAGGCTGCATTCCATCCAGGTATTTCTGAGACACCAAAGGATCACACTGTAACACACCTTTTCTGATGATATATGTGAATGCAACAATCTATGCAAAGATTTTAGCACAATGCCTGGCACACTGTAGTTACCTACCGCAGGTAAATGTTAGCTATTTGTTCCTGTTGTTAATTGCAATTTAGTGTTAAGTTAAATCATGTATGGCACTTTCCATAAGAAAACATTTATTAGACTAAATATTACCTTTAAACTTCAGTACAGCTTTAATTCAAAGAGAGTAGGTCACTTCCTATTAGTATGGGTTCTTTTACAGTATCTATCTGTAAAATGTAAATGGAGGCTGATGACACGCAATTATTCTAAAAATTCAATACTAAAATGTTATTCATGCCTAAATTATCTGGCATCATCTGACAGGAATATATTTTATCTGAATTATCAGATCAATTATCTTGATTTCTGCACTCAACTTTGCAAGCACATACGTACTCAATGTCCTCTGCAAGGTGCAATTGGATTTCTTCAGGTTGAAGTGTGACCCAGTTAGCTTCCTACCAGGCATTTAAGATCTGTTCAAAGATGATGTCTTTGAAGCCCAGTGTATATTACTAAAATGGTTCTAGCCTTTTCTGAGATGTGACAATTAGTGATTATAGAGACAGAGCTCAATTATTTAAATCTGCTTAGAAAAATTTCATCGAAGCCACAGAAATGTATACTCACAGTGCTGACACTTAGATAAAATCTGAAAACTCTATTTTGTAGCTTTCATAGTCTGGAGCTTTATTTCTTTTTTTTAAAAAACTTTCATTTCCTCCAAGCAGTAATACTTATTTACACACTTTGTAGTTGATAACTCAAGTAGAAATGAATTGGTCATTCAATCTGATGTGAGCAGTGAGCCAGAATTTGAAAATGTGGTATATTTTAGGGTAGACTCAAAGAAGAAGGACTATATTATGCAAATTTTCTCAGTATCAGTTTAAATATTCATGGTTTGCTTATTAAAACATTAAAAAATTGTGTCTCTGAGCATCAGGTTCTTAATATGCAAAACAGATAGCACAAAGTAAGGAAAAACAACTAGCATATTGTCTTGGAATTTGCTTAAAAATATCCTAAAGCTAAAGTTTAGTCTTTTCAGTATGTATATGTGATATATTAAAGCTTTCCTCAGAAACTATGATACAAGAAAATCAATTACCCTTGGAGAGTTAATCTTTAAAAATCAACACACAATGGAACAGAGAAATGTCATGCAGGTTGCAATAACAATGCATAGGGGGCGGGTACAGGTGGTGACCTGAATGTGGTGGTTAATTTTATGTGTCAACCTGACTGGCCCTGGGGCAACCAGATTAAACATTTCTGGGTGTATCTGGGAAGGTGTTTCTGGAGATTAGCAATGGCTAATTGCTGGACTCAGGAAAGGAGACTGCCTGTCTGCAAAGTGTGTGGGTACTTTTTAATCAATTGAGGGCATGAATTGAACAAAGGACAGAAGAAGGAGGAATTTGCCACTATTTTCCTGACTCACTAATGAGGAATTTGCCCCTATTTTTTGACTGACTTGTGAGCTAGAACATCTCAGCTCTTCTTACCTTCTCTGACTGAGATTACTTCTTCCTCTGTTGGTGTCCCTAGTTCTTGGAAATTTGAACTCAAAATTATACCACTAATTTTCTGGGTCTCCAGCTGTGGAAGGCAGTTTGTGGGATTTATCAACCTCTCCAATAGCAAGAACAATTTCTCTCTCTCTCTCTCTCTCTGTCTCTCTAACTAAATAATACACAGATATACCATAATAACATGTATAACTATAGTCAAGTAGAAGTTAGTAAATGATGGGGAAAGAAGGTGGCTAAGAAAAGAAAGGCAAACTTTGGTGATGCCTATCCAATCTTCTGTCAAGATACTGTAATATACCAATTCTATAAGCAAAGTCATTTATAATATAAGGTAAGTGTATTTCATTAATGCGAGTTCATACCCATGACCTGGGTATGCTGAACAGAACTCAGCTAGAAAAGAAGCTAAAGAAGCTAGGACATAACAGAATGTCAAAGGACTGCCTAAGGATTCAAATACAACCAGGTACATTTACCCACGTCAGCAGAAGCTCTTTGCTGAGGGGAGATCTGCAAGTAAAGTTGGGGCAGATGTATGTCTCTGAAACACTCACAAAATGACAGAGGAACAGTTCATTTTAAATACTTGACATTCTTCGAGATGCCAAATCTTGATCATGATAAATATCCAGTAGAGTTTTCCACTATTGCCCATTGCCCACCCTTTTGTTCTTAAGCAAACTCAACAGAGATGTCCAAATGGTCTTATTTTTCAGAAC